TAGTGTGTGTGTGTGTGTGTGTGTGTGTGTGTGTGTGTGTGTGTATGTAGATTTTCACAGGTGTAGGTATGCTGGTCTTGTTGTATTCGGGTCTTTTCCCATGTAAGATTGAGATTGTCTTGGCTGATGAATTTACAATTAATATGGGACCCAAACTCGGGATTTTTGATTTAAAAATACTATTCCAGGATTTCTCCCAAGTAGTTTTCTTCAACAAACTAAATGCAGCATTCTTAACATTTGGGCCTAGAAACCCTTGCTGTGGTTCTAGAAATTTGTCTGGGGCAGACCTAGTGAAAGATACAGGAAGCATTGAATAACGGATGAGTATACTAATGCTGATATCCTGAAAACTTCCATATATCATTGTTTTTGATCCCTGTTCTTTGAAAGCAGATTGGGCATGGCCAGAATTCTCTTCCTTTCTACCAACACAGAAGTCCTCCCAAAAAAGGAACAAACATCACTGCCCTATCTTGTGCAATAGCCCATCTTTTTAGCAGCAGAAATTCCCTCATAGAAGTTTCTATTCTATATTCAAGGAAATCAAACTAAAGTCATGTCTACAAAAGTGGCATAAATTGCCCTGGCATTGCGTTTGTCATGCTGATGAAAGCAGCAACCTCCTGCACACACTGCTGATTAGGCAGGCATCAAGTGAGCGGGCAAAGTAATGATAGACAATTGTAGCAATATGTACATCATATAACCTTTCTATTTATCCCACTCAGGCAGTTATGAAATGTCAAGCTTGTCTACTACGTGCTCAGGTAGCATGTAGGATGAGTTCAAGATTTGTTTTGGTGGTACTCATGTCCCAAGATTATTAGAGTTATATTTGTGTAGTTATTAAAATTACATCCTTGAGGGCTAGAAAAGGAAATTTCAGAAATTTAGATCTTCTCCGACTCCATTCCACAATAATGACAGATTTTTGCTCAGGCTTTTGACCAATGCCAAGCTTTAATACACTTTAATATAAGTGGGAGATACACTTCTGATCTATTTATGTGGAGGATTCGGGCTGCACATGCTGGGGTTGGTTCAGGTGAGCTTCTTGATTGGCATTTCGGTACCATTGCTTAAATAGATTTTGAGATATTGTCTTCCATCCACCCCACAAACTATCAGTAGGCCATATGAATTGGCATGCATCTGCCCTGGCAGCATCTCTGACCTATATCAGTCAATAAAAGACACTAATGATTCAATTTTACACAAAGAAGAGACGAGATGAACCAGCATAATACAGACGCAAAACTAATTATAGCATAATTGTACATTCCTATTGCACATTTCTACATCGAGTAGATAATGAATGTATTTCAGCAAGTGAACAAACAGTTGGGGAGAGCGACAGATTGAGCAACTTCGGGTTGTCAGTTAGGCCTCACCTTATTAAAAGAGATTTTTCTTTTAATAAGGATAGTATTAGGATTCTCTTTGCAGTATTTGTTAATTTCAAAATAGCTTTCATTATGATCCTCAGATTTTGGAAGAAACTTGAATTAGCTTCCATTGACCTGTCCCATATTATTGGTGATTCATTGGTTCCATGAAACCATTTACTTAAGAGTCACTCCCATTGACAGGACATCTTTCAGATTCACCCCATATAGAAATGGGTAATGAAGGAGCATCTGCCACAAAGAAGAGGGAGTCAACTTATTCTCCAAAGCACTTGAAGGCAGGACAAAAAGCAATTCATGGAAACTAATCAAGGAGAGAAGCAACGTAGAATTAAGGAGAAATCTCCAGACAGTCAGAACAATTAATCAGTGGAACGACTTGCTTCCAGAAGTTGTGGATGCTCCAACACTGGAGGTTTTTAGAAAGAGATTGGACAATCATTTGTCTGAAATGATGTAGACTTTCCTACTTGAGCAGAGGGTTACACTAGAAGACCTCCAATGTCCACCCAACTCTGTTTTTCGGTTACTCTGTAGTAATTTTATTTTTCATTTATAACTTCAATTCTTTAAAGAAATGGCTTATTGATCCAGATCACTATTTGCTTTGTGCTAGTCAGCAGACCCAGGTTCGTGTTTTACTGGACTCATGATGGTAGCTATCTTCTTCATAGCATCAGTGAATACAAAAAGATCACAGCAAAAGCTAAGTATCTATTGAGAAGTTGAACATCTAAGTGCAAACTACTTTTTTAAAAAATAAGGTTTTTGTGGGGAGTGGGAAATCAAAAAATATAAAGGAGATCCTATAAATGTGAATCCAATTGAATAACTAAAGATCTTAGAATGTTTGGTAATCTTCCAAACATTGATTGGAAAAGGAGCATTGAATAGCCCTTGTGTTATTGTGTCTAGAAAACACAATAACACTTTCCACAGTAGAGGGAATACTATGATAAGGCAAAAGTGCTGGTGGAGTCCAAATATGCTCCTATAGAATATGGAGGTGACGTATTCCAAATTCTTGCATTTTATTCTTATTGATGCCATGAATATGCTGAATGTGGTATTGCCAGGACCGTTTTCAGTAGAAACATGTGTTGAGTCCCTTTTCTTCAGCCTTTGCTAAAATTTATATTTTTTCCAACCACTTTAATTGTAGAAGACAAATTCAATCCACATGGAAGATAGCCCTAGAGGGGGAAAAAATATCCCTTCAGTTCAATGATTTCTGTCGGGATTTTTTACCATGTTGAGTTTTGAAAAAGTCAAAAGAACAATCGTGCATCATGTTAGGACTCATACTTGCAAATCAAATAGGAGTTTAATTTCTAGTCTCTTGAATTCTGGTAATAATTCTGTGCTATTTATTTACAAAAGTCCTTGACTTACAACCTTTTGTTCAGTGTTCAAAGTTACAACGGCACTGAAAAAAGTGACTTTATAACATTTTTCACACTTACGACCATTGCAGCATCCCCAGGGTCACATGAACAAAATTCAGATGCTTGAAAACTGGTTCATATTTATGGCAGTTGCAGTGTCCTGCGGTAATATGATCCTTTTTTGCAATCCTTCTGACCAGAAAAATCAATGGGGAAGCCAGAGACAACATGTTACTGTCTCAACAATTACAGTGATTCATTTAACAACTGTGGCAAGACAAGTGGCAAAATCGGGGAAAACTCATTTAACAACTGTCACATTTAGCAACAGAAATTTTGGGCTCAATTGTGATCGTAAGTTAAAAAAAACCTGGGGGGGGGGCTTGATTAAAANTTCTTCATGTTTTAGTCTTCTGGCCTTTAATTATCTTAGATGCTTTTCTTTGCACTTTTTTCAAAGTTTCAACATCTTTTTTGTGTAATGTATTTTATAATAAATAATCAAAAGTTGGTCTGTGTAGCACTTTATGCCATATGCTCACCAGCCAGATCATGATCTCCATGATAAAATGTGCACTTCACATCACATAAAGAACATTTATTTCAATATAGCTTTCCATGTTTATGATTTTTCATCAATTGCAAGAACAAAAACTCCTTGCATTGATTTCTCCAACTCAAATAGTATTAAGCGACCTGTTGTGTCCAAGTACTTTGGACTTCAGTTTCTATCAATCTGGCCAATGGCAAGAGATTAGGTGACTCTAGTCAAAATATTTAGAGGCAACCTGATTAGTAGGGGAAGAATCAAAATTATAACACAACTAATTTTGCAGCAACATTACAAAGCTGGATTTATAGAATCCTAAGGTGACTGCACAGACTCTTCATTTCTGAGAAATGAGCACACTTGAAAACACTGTGGTTCACTTTATATTTGTATGTGTTTGCTCTGCAATAGTAAACAAAATTACCCTTATCATGCAGAATGGCAATGGTCAAGGGTCCCTCAGTCATAGATAGAGACTAATCAGCAGCTGAGTGGTGAATTCCAAGCAGTGCTCTCACCATTGAAGCACATGAAGTCAAGTCTGGAACAAATCTTTGCATCCTAAGAATCAAGACTGTCAAATTTTCAAAAGGTAGGCACCTGCAGCTGTCAAGCCTATGATATCCAGACCTCACAGAGATAAAACCTATTATTCCCAGATAGCAAAAGGGTCTGACAGAGTCATACAATGCTCACAACAAGGTACATTTGAATGCACCACTCATTAATACAAGTTAATTAATAGTAACATTATCAAAACACAGCAGGCCCATTTTCTCATTACTTACACATGAGCAATCTGGTTTCCCACACTTGGTATTGCCCCCACTGATTTGATCACATGCCCAATAACGTAAACAATGGAGAGATAAATGATTGTTCTGCAGAGGAAAAAGAAAAAAAAAAGTGGGTAAACATTATCAGCCAAAGGCAGGTGCATTTATAATCAGAAAGCCAAAAACATGTCTGTGGTTCCTGATAGGGAAGAGACAAGCATTTTTCTGCTGCTGGGATATCTACCAAAATTACAACCCTTTTTTCTCTGTTAGTCTTCTAAATGTTGGAGAAAAGAGCTATTGCTAACCAGAAGTGTGAGGTAAAGCACTACAGTTCCAGAGGTGGTATTCAGCTGGTTTCCAGGAGAACCAGTATGGGACATTTGACCTGGTTTGCTGAACCAGTAATGACCTCTAGCTGCCCCTGGCCTTGCCCGCCCACTCGATGCTCGCTCCAACCGCCCGCTCATTCTCCCCAACCCCCACTCAATGCTCGCCCCAACCACCCACTCAACACTCGCCCTGCCCATCCCAGCCCTATATATGTTGCCTTTGCCATGCGGCCCAGCTAATCGCCTTACCAGTTGCCTCCGCACCTCAGCCGCTATGCTAAGCTCACCAAAGGTAATCATGCCACCCACTCACCCTTTGCCTTGGTTCAGGGCCCAGAGCCCAGGGACAATCATGAAGGGATAGGCCACAGTAGCTGCCTTTTGTGCCGGTTCTGTGATGTCGAGTTGGCCATGGCCACTCGGTCACTTAACCCCCACCAAGCCACGCCTTCCAAGCCAAGCCCACAGAACCAATAGTAAAAAAAATTGAATCCCACCCCTGGGAACTTTTATGTATGGTTCCTCTTCAGATTGGCAGTTTCTCTTCCCTCATGATTAATCCTGAATTGTTCCTGACAATTGTATAGCCTATAAGAAAGGGAAAATCTATATGCATAGACAGCATATTTTATTCTTACTTGTATTTTCCCAGCCAGGAGTCAGCAATGAAGGCACCAATGACTGGTGTGAAGTAACACAGACTTGAGAAAGCATGGTATACAGATGTAGAAGTTGTTTCATCCCAATGCAGGAAGTAGAGAAAATACAAAGTTAGGACAGCTGTGGGAAGAAACACAATAAGAAAAATACAAGATAATGGATATCACAAATATTTATTCAAATATTTTATATAATTGAGCATCTTCTTGAAATGACTCCAGGAGACTAACAATGCATAAAAACACAATACAAAGTAAACATAAATGAATAACAGCATAAAAGGCCTACAGTAGCAACTAAGGACAATGGTCAATCAACAACAAAGTAAAATCTCATTGGCTTTGAACAACTGCTTGACCTCTAAGCCAGAAACACATCCAAATATTTAGACCTTTCTGAAAAGTTGGTGAGGTCAGAGTCAATCTAAAGAGTATAGGATTCCACATTATGGCAGAAATGGTCTATTATCTGGATCCTGCTAGATAACTTTCTTTGCCTGGAACTCAAAGCAAACTTCTCTGATTTAGTAGAACACACAGACAAAAATACCCTGGTCTTTTGACATGAAAGGCATGATAGGTGACAACTACCACCTTAATTTGCACTTTAAATTGCACTGGAAGTTAATACATCTCATGGAACAGAGATGCAACAGGGCATCCTGATGCCAATGAATTCTGGACCAGTTGTAGCTTCTGTATGTTCTTCAAGGAGAGCTCCCACATGGAACATATTGCAGTAGTCTTCTTGAGAGGCAATTCAACTATGAGTGACCATGAGCAGTACATCTTGGTCCAAGAAAGGGCACAACTGCATACAACAAAAAGTTGTACAAAAGCACTCTTGATCATGATTACTACCTGTTCCTCAAATAGGTGCTGTAAATCTGGGAGGAATCCCCTACAGTCTTAAGCCTGGGGAACTCCACCACCTATCTAGTCACATTCAAGGAGTTCAGACAGGGATATTGCAATTTAACAAAGAAACTAGTACAGTAGTAAGAGTCCCAAGGGTTCCTGAGAGCTCAACTTTATAAACAAGGTCTCACATTCAGTTTTCTGAAGCAGTGCTTCTGAATGTCATCAGAGTATCCTGGATGAGCATAGCTTCCCCATCATCTCTGCCCTGGGCTCTTAACTGATACCACGCATAAAACACACGTAGGGATATTTCAGAGAGTGGATTTCTCCTTTCTATGTCCATCCAGGCCTCCAAAATGTATGGTAGTATTTAGGTCCAGTTTACAATACTATAGCAGGTTGTTGCTAGTATTGTGTCCACACTTTCAGGTACACTACATCAGCAAACAGATTCTACAGGAAACAGTAGAAATCTACTTTATTGATATAGTAGTAAAATCTCAAAAATCTGACCTAACTGTTCCTCCATTTGTCTTACATCAAAAAGAGTTAAATCAGACTCCATTCAAGTTTGTTTCTGACATGTTCTTTCTTTTCTGCACTTAAGTCATGTTTTGCTAACTGCCACAGGTTTTCTCCAGGGTTATGTCTATGATTCTCTATCTATTGCCACTCGGTAATACCTTTGTGCCTTTAACAGTAACAGAAGAAACAAAGTTTATCAGTGTCAGAAAAATAGAGTGATGAACAAAGTGCCCCTTCTGAATGTTGGCCATCATCCCAAAGATAAAATCATAGAGCCTGCCACAGGAGAAAAGTTGGGGAAATTAGTTATTATGACAGCTTTCTCAGTCCAGGCATCCTTCCAGATGTGTGATGGGTCAGCCGGTTTGGACTCTGGACAACCATTAGATGAGAGCAAACAGATATAGAAAATTCTAATGCCTTTTAACCATCTGGTAATCATCTGCATTTTTGCAATCTAGATCTGGTAGCACTAGATAAGAGGATTTTCATGCCCAGAATTCTGAGCAATAATATGATGGCTGAAGACTTCTGGGAACTGAATACCCAACATCTGGAAAAGGTCATGGTTGAGAAAGTCTGGCTAGGCCAACAGTTTTTTCCTCAGACCTCAGTTCTGTTTCCATCTTCTGCAGGACATTCTTTAAAACAACCTTTATTTTGCCGCCAACATTCTATATTTATGATCCTTCTGTCTATTACATTAGCATTTACATTTAGCACAGACCATTAAGATTTATAAATCTGACTGAGATCTTGGGTGAGAAATCAAGCAAAACATTCTCCCCCCCCTGCCCCCTCCATTTCCAGCCATTAATTGCTCCCTGCTTTTCTTCCATCTAAATAAATGGAAAAAGCATCTGATTTTTCCTGAGCAAAGGCTGTAAAAACCTACCTTTCATTCCATAGTAGGAGAAACGCTCACAAAATTCATTCACTACAATGAAAGCGATGCTGAGAGGATAGTGGGTGCCACATATTCCCTAAAGAAACCAAGCAGAAAGAGGTTGGGTTATGTACTATATATGTGTGTCACTTCATCATTTGCACAGTTGGTACAACGGTGCTCATAGAAAGCAGGTTTTGAAACCAAAACATCTATTTGTACAACAAAATGAAAAAAGACAAGTATGCCTGTGAACAAATAGTTCAAGAAAACACTTAAAATGTCAGTAAACTCATGCTTCAAAGAGTGAAATTCAGCACATTAAGTCAATGTCAAATAGAATTTAAGAAGCTTGAAAATATACAAATATTACATATGTTCGTCTGTGTATGTATGTAAGCATATAAATACACGCACACATATACAGTATGCAGTTGTGGGTTCCAGATCCCGTCGCAACCTGTATGCTGCAACGGGGCCGGGAGGTCACCACATGCGTGCGCGCTGCGCACGCATGCACACCACCGACTTGCGACGCTCCAGCTGCTTGGTGGAGTGTCGCACAGGTGCCGTAGGCTGCATGTGCATGCGCAAATGCCCCAGTCAGCTCAAATAGAGATAAGGAGAGCGGGCGGGTGGGCCGGAATGTTGCCTGCAGCTCCCAGTAGGCACCGGTACACCCGTACCAGGGTGTACCAGCCGGAACCCACCACTGACAGTAGGTATATAAACAGTATCAAATAGAATTTTAAAAGTAAATAGAAAAAGCAAATATATAAAGGCAAAACATAACTGTTTTCTCATCCAAAGCTATAGATAAAAAAGTTTTTTGTGACTTGGATGAGCTTAGTGAATGTCCACAGGTTTCTATAAAATTTCTATGATTAATCGAGGTTTTTGGTGTAATCAAGAAACAAATCCCCTCAGGGGTGTTATTTTTCTTCCTCCAACATGTGCAGAGTAATTGTGTCAGCAGAGAAAATATGGGAAACAGGAATCTAACAATTTCAGTGTCAGGAGGATCCGAGCATCAAACACCAAAGGCTAACCGCATGCTTAAGTACATAATGGCCATATTATTGCTTTCACAGTCCAGCCTTCATTTTGCCCTCACATTTGTGAGGCTTCACTGCACTATAAGAAAACAAAGCAGGCTGACACTTTTCCTAGTGCACTTCCACAACATTTTTGCAGTGCCACCCCGTGACATGCAGGAGCAACAGAATCTGCAAAGAGAGAGAAAAAAACCATTTGACAGTGAGAAATTCTCAGTCTTCCAGTGCCAAGAAGAGATGAGACTGCCACGAAGGGGTTATTTAAAGGGGAGTCAGATATACATTTACAAATTGTCAACAAAAAAAAACCCTGAAGAAATACGATAGGCCTCTTAGAGTAACTCAAGGACACTTCTCTGAAGGAACAGGGACATGGGTGAGTTGAGAAAGGTGACTCATAGCATCAAAAGTCTGTTTCAACCTAAATGGATTTGATTGTACATAGAGAATGCCAAAATATACAATGCACATGCCAATCTGACTCTTTCTGTGCATTCAGGAAACCTGGTTGGCAAGTGAGGGGAGGATTAGAGATCTTGAGCATATATGAAAGGACACCTACATATGTCAATACAAGCTCTCCATTAGGGATTGATGAACCTGTCCATTTCAAGTTTCTTTGTTTCATTTCTCATCTTAGGTTCTTTTTACTCCATTTCCTCACCAGCTTACAAACATATTAATGTATACACAAACAGACAAACAGACAGACACTCTCTCTCTCTCTCTCTCTCACACACACACACACACACACACACACACCGCACACATGGCTATGTGTATNCATATCCTTTGGACATGTCATTCAAGCAGATGAAGCACTAGAAAAAATAGCATTTGCTTGGTAAGCAAAGGAACGGGAACACAACAAATAGGATAGGTTGATGGATGGGACCAAAATGATTACTGGAATGTCCTTGAAATAATTACTGGTTGCTATTGGAAATTAATTGAGATAGTGAGCATTTGTCCACGTGGTCACCAATGTTGTCTGAGAAACACCGAGATGGAGATTTTCAGTGCTTTATTCTGCACAGAGGAATGGACACAGTTTTTACAATGACTTCTGCATAAGCCCACCTTAAGCCAACCCCTGTTAGGTCATCCTGTGGTCTTATCAATGTTTAATATTGTTTGGCTTGCATCTGCCCTGTCTAGCAGCAATCAGCACATTTGCCCCTAATTTCCAGTAACAATTATCACATTGTGCCATTATTAGTACATTGATCCCCCATTCCTCTTTTCCCAAGTTGCTGCCATTTGACAAATCTGTAAACTAACACACTCTCTCTCTCTCTCTCTCTCTAGCTAGATGTATAGATATAGTATAATCATCTATTTCTAGCACCTATGATACCCTAGGTCAATAATGACTAACCTTTTTGTAAAGACGTGCCAAAATTGTGTGCATACACACTATTGCCCACACCCACAATTCAATGCACCTCACCCGCCTGCGCATGCGTGCACAACACCCCCTCCCTGTGCAGGCTCTGGAGGTTTTCCTGAAGCATGGGGAGGATGAAAATGGCCGCCTTCAGCCCTCTGGAAGGCCGAAAATCAGCTGGATGGCATGCACATGCATGCCAGAGCTGATGGCTCACCTGCCAATAAATATGGCTCCGCGTGCCACCTATGGCATGCCTGCCATAAGTTTGCCATCACAGATCTAGGTTCTATGGGTGGGATTGAAAAATGTTAGCAACCAGTTCTCTGCCCATGGTGGTAGTGGCCTACTTGACCTCCTGCACCACAGGGGGCGGTGTTATTCGCCCTCTCCAGGCTCCACAGACCCTCCCAGAGCCTCCGTGCAGGCCCTGCACTTACCTGGCATGATGAATGGGCTGTGTGGAGACTCCTGGGAGGGCAGGTGCAAATCGGTGCGAACCGGCTGAATCCCATACCTACCTGGGTTGCCTCTTCATGCAGTCGTCTTATCCCATAACTACATCTGGGTTTTCAGTTGAGCAAACATTTTCTGAGGGTTTTACTAACTAAGCTGTTTTCATTACTCCTTGTGCGATAGCCACCCTATTAACACATCATCTGCAAATACTCATTCTCTACACAGAATTAGGTCTTTACTGGAGAAAGTCCTGAGGCCTTTCCTTCACCAGGAATCAAGACTTGACTTGATAGTTTCTAACTGTGTTGCAGTTAGAGACCAAGACTGCTCATCTAATAGAAGAGTGTGGATTTTGTCAGCTTGTCTACTTTGCTTTCTCATTTTTGTGTTCATCCATGGATTAACTATAGAGTATCTTTAAAAATCCCTTCTCCACCTTTTCTGAATAATTCTGCAATGGTTGAATAAAGCTTCTTATCAAAGCAGACAAGCTTACAAGGGCTGGCTGGCAAAAAAAATGCAGTGAGCATCTGCTGTACCATTGATGGCTGGAGATGTGTTTTTTTGAATGGAGCACTTATTAGAATGTGTATCCCAATGTGTACCCCACAGGGAATAATTTATTGCCAGCAGATATCTGCATTTAGATGGATGTTCAGTTCGCTTTCCCTATCCACCCGCCTCCTCCTTCCTTAATGAGAGACTGAGGACTCAAGTAACAATTATCTCTTTCCTCTGTCAGAAAGTAAATCAGAATGAGTCAAACAGAACAAAGATTTGAGATAATTATTCCTGCCAGTACAACAATACAGATGGCAAAAAGAGAAACTGTACGATAATTGGGGTTTCCCTTCCTGATTCCTAGAGCACCTTTTGACTCTCTTCATCTGCATGTTCCCTATATTAAAAACCTGTGCTCTGTCCAGGGACGACATCTGCAATAGCACTAGCACTAACACTTAGACTTATATATCGCTTCACAGTGCTTTATAGCCCTCTCTAAGCATTTTATAGAGTCAACATATTGCCCTCTGC